TCCAAGAGTTTTTTCAAAATTAAATGTTTCCATTCAGCAAATTTATTTTCAAAAATATTTAATTGGACACAGCTACTGTAATTAATGTTTTTTCACTTTTTCCTTCCCAATGTTTGCTGCTTGTCTTCCAGAAGTAAAAGCTAATTATTCTCTTTTTCCATACTTTTCATTCTTTTACAACAGGAAACTACCAACAATAAGCTGAAATAACTTCTTTTCAGGTTTTCTAAATTAGAAATAATATTTCAAAATCACAATAATGTCATTAAAAAGTCAGATATTTGCTGTGAATAAACACTGCAGAGCAAACATGACAGAGAAATGAAAGCATGTGATTATGGGAGTGAAAATCGGCATGCTTGGAGCTGAACAGCAGCTTTGTGCTGAAGTTCTGTTCGAGAGCCATTACTGCGCAGTCTCTCGACCCGACAGATTAGATCTGGGGTCAAAGGTCAGCGTGTTTGAAGAGCCTCTGGAGTGTTTAAAGGGCCATTTCAGCTCATGGAGGACTGAGCGAGGAAGCTGCTGCTGCACCTGCGGAGGTTTGAGCAGGTGATGAAAACTCGGCCTGCTGCAGCTTATTGACGCTGTTTGCACCCCGTAATTCAAGTCCATCTACATACATTTTCCTCATGCGTGTTTGCATAATGTCTGAGGCAGAGACGCATATTTATGCAAACGGCTGCTTTTATGTGCCTGAACTTTAAGTGCACATGTTGGCATCTCAAGACCTAAAAATGAAGCTTCAGCAGTTTTTAATATTTCATGTCTTGAAGCATTAGACGCAGGTTTCGGCCCAGTCAAAGTCACATGACTACGCAGCCGTAAGCAAGATGTGCGACCCAGGATGGCATCTCACCGCCGCTTTACGCTCTGAAACACGCCAACAAACAGACAGATGATCTCAACTCCGGTAAAGAAACTCAAATAAACACGAAGCAGATAAAGTTTCAAGACGTTCTAAATACTACAGAGTATTTTAAATCTAGTTTCTAGTTTAATACACTAGAAAAAATACAAAATGTTATCACTTTACAAATGTTCATCTATAAATCATTAATAACTGCTTATTGTGCAAAGGAGGCAGAATGAAGCAAAGTGATTAAAAACTGCCATCCAGGTTTGAGTTAATCAATATTTCAATTAATAATCAAAAGCAACTCTAAACAGGCGAGTTTTCCATCTGGATTTAAAGAAACTCAGGGTTTATTGTATCCTGGAAATGCTCTCCAGGTGACAGAAGGCCGACTTTGTAATTGTCTTTATGTGATTCTGAAGATTCAACCCAGATTTCTGTCTGATTTCTAGTTTCCATCTGTAATAACTGAAGCTGTTTCTCCAGATTATTTCTCTTCATATTAAAAGATAATAACTTTATAATGTTTATATTTGACTGTAATTATTAAAGTAAAAGAAGGTCTTTGTGATTCAGGCAGTCAATCCATTAAATACTGAACTGATGTGGTTAAAACTCCCCCAAAAATGTCAAAATAAAAAATATTAGGACAATAATCTGTCATATCAGCACCGACTGGGTTAAGTATTTAACACCAAAAGAAATGGATCGAATATCGATCCTTGGGGAACTCCATCATTTCAACAGATCTCTAAAGAAGCTTTTTACAAAACAATACATTTAAACGGATGAACACATAAATAATAATACAAAATTTACAAATCCTGAATTTGAAAATTATTCAAAAACTTTTAAAATCTGTGAAAATTGTGTCATTAATTTTATGCATTAGGACAAAAATGGCGGGAAAACAAAGAAAAAGTTAAATAAGTTAATTTGCTCTTGACAGTAATTAGACATTTTCTTACCACTGAAAATGAAAATATATTTTTATATCACACAGTAATGTGTAATTTAAATATAAAGCTAGGACTGTTTCCATAAATACGGCCCATGAAAACTGCCTCCAATCAGGAATCAGAAAAACAAGCTGCTGATATAAACACGGATCAGTGAAAACCTCTCCGCCCCGCTCTACGTTTTATTTTACTCCTGCTCTCTCAATCTTTCACTAACAGCCAAGGATGTTGGACCGCAGCCCAGCATGTAAATTAATCCAACAATTTCCATCAGGAGCCATTCAGACTCTGGAGCGGGATAATTTGACAGCAGCCCAGTCAGAAAACGGCCAGAGACGCGGCGATGTTTGATTCATTTAATATTTCTGCTCTCTTTGGGTTGATGACGCCTCAGACAAAAGCTGCAGCTGGAAGGAAGCTGGAAACGGCAGATCAGGACGGAAACGTTACGACTCAGTCAGGATGACAAACAAACGTTCAGGTCACTTCCTGTGAGGGCCGCACAACAAATCAGTAACAGTATCGATTGCTAATACACCCCATTCGATATGTAGAACATTCACTCTAATCCAGAACCACAAAGCATTCTGGGAAATGCAGTTTCCTAACCAAGTTAAAATGGTGGAATCAACTAGCAACAACCTGCTGGGTAACGGGCAGTTCAAGATCCAAACAACAGTTAGAAACCCGGGCCTGGTTCTGGTCCGACTGAACTCTGGTTCTGGTCCGACTGAACTCTGGTTCTGGTCAATCTGAACTCTGGTTCTGGTCCGACTGAACTCTGGTTCTGGTCAATCTGAACTCTGGTTCTGGTCAATCTGAACTCTGGTTCTGGTCCGACTGAACTCTGGTTCTGGTCAGTCTGAACTCTGGTTCTGGTCCAACTGAACTCTGGTTCAGTTCAAATACGTATCTGAACACCAAGCGACCTGGAGACCACATCACAAGCAGGAAGTGGACTACAACGCAGGGCATTCTGGGTAAATAAAACCATAGCAAACACATTAGCCTAGCGCTAGCAGGAGAAATTGCTTCAAATATCCTCCAAGTTCTAATGTCTCCATCTTGTTTTTCCATATTTGGAGGAAGTTGCTCTCAGTGTCTTCAGAGGCTTTTGTGTCGTTTCATTCAGTGGTTCTTGGTGCAGCGCCCCCACAGGCCAGGAGGGGAACAGGCTGGTTGGTTTGAAACTAGAGTGAAAATGGAATAAATGTTGCAATTTCCAAATCAAACTGAGTCCATCAGGCTATCAGGAGGGAAACTTTAAATGGTTCTTTTGCAAAACGTACAGGATATTAGCGGTAGCAGCGATAAACGGTGCTAACATCTATCACATCGCTGCAGTTAACAATGTTTCCATCTGAGCAACTATGTGTTCATCGGTTGGTTTTTTCATACCAATAAAAAATGGTATTGCCTGAACTATAAAATGAAGATCAGCCAGAGAACTACAAACTCAAATTACTCGCCAAAACTTTAGCATAAATGTCTAAAATGAAAATACAAACTGCTCTCCTGACTTTAAAGGAAACTTTGTTTGAATTTATTGATCATTTTCACTGAGACAAAACTTTTTCTGCCCAAACAATCCCTGCAGAAGTTATTTACTGGTGTCAGATGCAACACCAACAGGCGTCCATAAGTGTTTTACTGAGCAGATCTAATTTTCCACAATTATCCTCCAGCTTTCATCTGCTCTGAAACTCAAACCTTTTTGATCTGCAGAAGATCTGATGAATTCACTTCACTTATTCATGAATAATCCGCAGCACCTTGTAGCATAGCATTTTGAATCATGGCACTTTGATAAGCCTTAATTATTATATGTTGGTGACAAAAATAGACAGAAATCCACAACATCAGACCGCACATTTCCAACAGCTTGCACTGGAATAAATCTCCTGCATTTTCTAAACTGGCGGTCATCAAAGTGGAGCCAACACTTGAAGACTCTTTCTGTTTAATATTCCAGCAGCAGAATCAAAACGCAGCATCTGTACGTCTTAATTATCGGCAGCACTTTAGCATGAATGCATATGCTCCACGAGAAACGAGCAGAAAACGAGAGCAACAAAGCTTTCACCAAAGTCCTAATAACACCTGCTGCTGTGATCTGCAAAATATCAGCCTTGCATTTAAAATTAATGACAGTTAGTTTGTAAAGTTGGAAATAAGCGGCCAAGTTATGCACCTCTGAGAGAAACATAAAAATATTCCTCACAGATGTTGTTTATGAGGATGATGGACACATCAATCAACGCTTTTCTGTATTTTAAATTTGAATAATTGCACATGAATAAATAGAGATGATGGAGTTAGGAGATCAAAACTTTCCCAGGAAAAATTAATATCCAGATAAATATAGATCTTTTTATTTATTTTTGTCCATCTGAGAAAATCGATTGTAATATCTGAACAAGCTGAATGAAATGTTTAAAATCATCTGGTTTTAATTGGAATAAAATGTTAATCATTTAAAACTTTTGGACTAAAACAAACTGATTATATATTATCTCATTTTCTTTGGGATCAATACAGTATTTTTGAATCTGAATACATTTCAAATCCCGTTATAACAAAATAACTCATTAAAACAAGAACGTTTCTAAAAAAACAAGAAACTTTATCGTCTTACTGGATAAACTTGTTAAACTGAAAAAATAAAACTTGTTATAATGAGAAATTTTTATATCTTATGAATATATATAACTTTTGAACTGGATGAAGTTTTAAATTGCATTTATTTATTTGGAGTCCAGTGGAAATAATTTGATTATATGGAGAGAATATTTTCACTTTAGCAGATTCTTTTAAATTAAACATGACAGAAAAGCTTCGAACGGCTGTTGAAGAAATAATTTTGGTTTCCTGGGAAAAGATGAACTGAAATGTTTAAGTGTGAATTGAATCATGATGGGGATGAATTTGGTGAAAACTTCTTCACTCTAAAGTAAATCTGACTTCAGTAAATGTTGATTTCACTTTTTTTCCAGCAGGTTTTGGTAAGAAGTGGTCCTGAAAGGCTGCAGTGTGACTTTGCGGTGGTTTGCTGCCACTCAGGATGTTAAAGCGATGAAGGCTCAGATTGCTCTTCAGCTTCGTTTTCTCCCACAGCGAAGCGGCAGCAGAGGCCGCCTTCTCGCCCGCTGAGCGCCGATAAAAGACACATTTAAAGTCTCACTGACCTGATGGCAGTGTGGGTTGGACTCCCTGCCGTACGGGTAAGAACTCCTCTCCGATTTACCTACATGAGAGAAAGACAACACAGATTACAGTCATTCATTTCACACTTTGTTTCATTTCTCTCTGCTGTGTCCAAAGAAGTGAAACTTACGTTAGAAATCATATATTTACCAATTTATTATAACCAGAGAAAAAAACGTGGACGGTCGTCGGGATTAGCACAAACATTACATGCAAATACTTGAGACGGCCTCTGAAAAGGCTGATTGCAACTTATTTTATACCTAAACACCTACATATGCTTTAATACGCACAGAGGAAACCATGTCAATGGCTCAGCCAATCAGAAGCGAGGAAAGAAAATGGCGCTCCTGGATTGGCCGGTTTGCAAACGCAAGCTAGTAGCATGTAGCTGAGTTATCTCAGCTTCCCAAACTGTATTTAAATATTTCAGATCTATAATGAAATCTGGCAATAGACGGATTTTCTGCAAATTATTAGAAGATAAATGTTCAGATCCTGAAGTGCAAAAGGTGACAGTTTGCATCACATTTTCAACTTCCATGTCTGGTAACAAACTCAACGCTACAGATGGTATTTTTAAGGGTTTACAGTTTCCATCCATGAACAAAGAAATTTCCCAAACTTTACGATTATCTTCCTGGATCCTACAGGTTACTTTCTAAAACTTGTAGATTAATTTCAGAAACTTTCTGGTTGCATTATGAGGCAACCTGGAGCAGAACAAACAGGAAACTCTCTGGAATATAGATATTATTGATCAGACATTAAATTGCCTTTCTGAACTGAACAATCTTCCTTCTAGCAGGAACTTAGAGAATTTTCCTCAAACTTGAATTACAGGTAGTAAAGCACTGATTGTACAGAACTGACTGCAGTTCCTTTGCCTGAACTCACTGACAGTGTGCGTGTTAATGGGTTTGTTTTCCCGGCGACATTAGAACAGAAAACACCAGCTTTCAGGAGTTATTGCCGCCAAAGCCAGTTCTGATCGCAGCGTTCATGTTTTCTGTTCCCTGATCTCACAGCAAAATTAAAACCACACATCTCTGTCGATCCACACAAAAAGCCAGAACCAAATGCTTCCTTTTGGGTTCGCACCAAACATTGACGCCATTTTGGACCCTGTGAACTCCTCTGGTATATCTGTGGAATAAAGACTATAAAACACGTCGTTTTATTTATAATGCCATTGTTTTTCTTCTGAGTCTCACTGGACAAACATTTGTCTTCAGAGACTCATTAGTGCGCCTGCTAAGCAACCGTCACAAACCAAATCCAGGAAACTGCCAACCCTCGAAGAAACATGTTTCCTTCACTCCAGTGAAGAGCTTCAGCTTTTCCACTTGAGGTTTCACATTCCTCAAAGCCTCGGCGGACAAGAGGCGCTGAAGACGCAATGCATCAAATTCATATCGAGATCCTTAAATGTATCGATTAAAACATGAATCAATAGTTTCCTCTGCAGTCACTTCTTAAAGTTAATCGGCAATTTGAAAGAATATATAGAAAAACTGTGGAGGAAAAAAAATTGAATCAAAAGTCAAAATTCTGAGAAAAAAAGATTAAAGATTTTTCTTTCTGTAATTCTCTGCCATTGAAAGCTGCTTTTATTTGACTGATATATAAGATTTATGAGGTGAACGGCCCAGAAGGGAAGCGCAGAGATCCTCAGGTGACAAACGACGGGATTTAAATGGCTGATTCCCGACGGTTCTGGTCGTCTTATTGCATCCCGACCAGAACCGAAGCATCCAGTTTGTGGCTCTATGTCCTTTTAAATCATGAACTTGGGTTGGGTTCCTGTTTTACAGTATGACACTGCAAAACAGAAACTCTTCCCAGGTATTTTTACTGCAAATATATTATCATACTTGAAATGAGACAAAATTAACTTAAAATAATTTATTTTAGCAAAATATAAGATCTTGTTTTAATTAATATTGATTTTAAAAGTTCTCGTCTCTGTGGTGAATTATTTATAATGAGACATTTTTCCCATAAGTTTCAATCCCAGTTGGGGGCCAAACAGAATCACTGCGAGGGCAACAAATGGCCCCCGAGCCGCACTTTGGAAACACCGATTTCTCTTTTCTATATTTTTGTTTTGTAGTTTTTCCAGTTTAATTGAAGTGAGCCAAGTATTTTTTGCAGGGATGATACATAAAAACATAATTAGATGGAAATAACCTTTGCAGAGGATGTGCAGCGTTCAGCTGATCCCCGTTTCATCACTGCGCCCAACATCTCTGGTGTGATTAAAATCAGACGTCCGGAGCCTTTAGCAGCAGGCCAGAGCTTGATGAGGAGAGGAACTTTTATTTTTAAACCCCAAACCCAACGAACGCGTCGCTGTGAAAAAGGTGTCTGATGAATTCAGAAAACACACCGGCTGCCGTTGTGTGGAGACAACAAAGCTAATTTCCTCTGCGGCTCCTGAACAGGCTTCCCCTCCTCTCCGAGCTGCGGGACCGCGTCGATTACTATTTTTACCACGCAGACCTTCTTTTTTGGATAAAAAAAACCTTAAATCTGCAGCCAGTCTAAATATCAAACCGCAGTTAGTGTGTAATTACGTTCTGCTGTCGGTGCGGATGAAATGCATGAAGCGTGTTGCAGGGCTGGAATCAGGCGTGTATAGACCAGCGCTGAATGCATGCCAACATGGTAGTCGATGCAGAAGAGGTTGATAATTACAGGCGTATAGAATAGGAATGTGGTCGACCGTGAGTGTGTGTGTGTGTGTGTGTCCAATACACAGGCCTCGGATTCAGCTACAACCGATGCCAGCTGGACCGGTTTGGCACGTACACAAAGACACCCCCACACACAAAGTACAGGAAATTACCGCCACAGATGTGCGCTTTCCCTCTCACACACATGTAAATATGTAGAATACACTACGCATTTATACCTTACTGGAGCTGCTCCATTCACACACACACACACACACACACACACACACACACACACACACACACACACACGCAGCAACGCTGGAGAACGTTTCCAAAAAAACCCGGCGCCAACGGCTGTGTCCAAAATAAATTCACCAAAAACGTAAAAAATATAATTACTTAATTGAAAAAGATCATATTAGAGATATAGATCTATAAATAAAACACATAGATCTATATTTCTGTATATACATTCATATATGTATAAATATACATTGTTTCATTAAAATGCACCATAGCAGTTAAAAATGTAAAAAATCTATTTAATTCAAATAGATTTTTACATGAAATAAAAACATATATATATATATATGCAACCAAAGCCGTTAAAGTGTAAAGATATCTACATTTAATTGTAATAAATCATGTCAGATTAAAAAAAGTTATATTTCTTCTACTTGAAAGAGATTTTATTGTAAATGTTGCTAATTTAAAAGAACATAAAAACAACAAAAAGCTACAAAATAAGTTAACACCTGAGTGTAAAGACAATAAAAGCCTTTAAAACACAGGTCCAAACTGGTGTTTAGTGGGAGGCCTGGGTCCAGCATGAAGTCGCCGGCTGTGGGGGTTCTGGCAGCAGCTTCTTCCCGTCTGGCACCGCAGCCTTAAATAAAAATACCCATCGCCAGGCAGCGCGCAGCCAGTCAGCAGCCAGTCAGCAGCCAGTCAGCTGCCAGCGCCGCGCCGATGTAAAAATACCTGGAGTACACGTGTGCAGGCGGTGAAAACACCCTGGGGAAACCGCATCCATAAACACTTCGTCTCAAGACACTGCAGAGCCGATCCGTTTGGGATTCTATAAAAATATGTTCATGTTTTTTTTATTGTTTTTACTTCATTTTTTCTATTTCCTGGAAGCAGAGACAGAAACACGAAGCCGAGCCTCAACGTCACAAAGCCCACTGTGATCGTCTATCATCATGAAATAAGGCTTTACTTTCTAAACATTTAAAATATTTCTACATGAAAACAAAATAAAAGCCTCAGTTAAACAGAAAATCCACTAAATCTACAAAAGCAGCTTTTAAATTTGATCAGAACATTTTTAAATCCAGCTTTTTTAAGCACGGCTCTTTATTTTCGCCGGCCATCGTCTCCTCGGGCCGAGCACACAAACAAAAATGCTCGGTATTTTAATTTGGCTGCTGCAGAAAGAACGGCATTAAAAAGCGGAGCGGGGCAGGAACCGAACGGTCGGCCAGAAATCCCCGTCATCTGGACCTGGTTCTGAAAAATATACGTGTTTTCCACCTGCAGAGGAAAATCATTACCTGAAAAATGAAACCTATACAGAGCATATCTTAATTGAATGGTTTTAAAGTGGAATATTAGTTTTCAGAGAGCCATTGAAAAAATAACAGATACTGAATAACTTTAATTATTACTCTGTAAATTAGTTTCCATTTTTCAGGAGATCCAAATATTTGTGTCTGGAGAAACGGAAAACCAGATTAAAAAAGATTTAAATGAAAATATTTTGATTAATTCTCCTCTATGGACACGACTGAAGCCATGTTGACGTTAATCGAGCTTTTTTCTTATTTAGGTTACAGATTTACTGAAATTATTTCAGATTTCCCAGAGCAGACGCCGGGGTCAAAGGTTACTACAGCAACTTCCTGTCTGAGGTTTTACAGATTACAGAAAGAAAACAAACTAAGTCTTTTCCACATTAGAAGAAACTTCCAAGTTTGTTTTAAAATACACAATATAATTTTGGAAGGTCGTCTTTCTGCCCAACATGCGGCCATGTTGGGCAGAAAATGGCCGATCAGTTTGACTGCAGCACAATCAGCAGCATTGCAGCGTCAACAAGAATCTATTCTGAGAGCAGAAACGGATTTAAAACATGTAGGAATCAATTCTCACAGTCTAGATGAAGCTTTCTCTAGGAAACAGAAATCATAAATATGAAGGTCACTAAGAAATAAATGTACTAAAAACGTCCATCAACATCTGCTGTCATTCTGGTATTTAAGGATGAATCCAATTTGAATCACAGATTCAATAAAATAACAAAAAGAGTGACACTGTTGTTCACTTAAACGTGTTTAAATCCTACAGGTTGTGAAGAACTGTG